TTTAAATATATTGGATTTTAAATTGTCATACAATTTTTTTCATCGATAGTCTGTAATTGGAACCATTACTCTTATTTATTCAAATTGTATTAATATGTAAAGACCAAGTGTAACCTATATTATCGTTAAATCTTGTCTTATAAAACCAGTGAAACTTCAAAATTGTTAAAATTCATGGCTCCCGGCCGCCGCATTGCGCGGGTACACAACTAGTATATATATATATATATATATATATATATATATATATATATATATCCAAGCCTTGTACATCTTCAACCTCATCAAAAATATTTTCTTTCTTACTTTTTTCATACATCTACAGCCACCTTGCATTTCATCAATTCTTAAAGCTTGAAAACATATTCAAGCGTGAACTCTCAGCCCCGTGAATAAGTTTTGTTGACGGATCCTTAGTTATTTGTCAGGAGAAACATTACGGGAAATATGGGGTTTGGTCAGTGCCTTCAATCTACAATTCCCACACCATTTTCTTGTCAAATTTCACTATCAGGAGATGTAGTCACACCCCAAGATTGTAAACAGCAGGAAGCAGAATCACATATAAATTTCATTATTCTATTCACATATGCTTCTCTATTTCCAAGAGTGCTAATCTAATCTAAAGCTCATTTAGTTCTTCATGACTGCAGGTTCTATTTCTAAATCTTTTATTTTGCAAAGATAAAACTTTATTACAAAACCGATCAGTTTTATATACATTACTCACAATCAATGACTTTCAACTAAGTCATACATCAACATGATATTGTACAAAGCATGGCAGTTTTTTCTTTGCATCTCGGTATGTCCACGAAAGAGTGCAAAATACCCATTATAGGGGCATGCACTTTGAACCAAATGTAGTAGAAACAGGAACTGAATTAACAACTTAAAAGATTTCAGCACTTAGGAGTTGTTAACCTGATGCTATTGTAAGTAATAAAGATTTGAAAGGTGGACAAATAGAGGGAACTAATCCTTGCTCTAAATACAGTAAAAATGAAGGAAAGATTGAGTGGTTTACTTCTTTTGTGTTAACATAAGGACATAAATAGTACCTTTATTAGAGAATTCAGCCGTTGTCGAAGCTAGAAGATCAGCCTCAAGTCCCTGATCAAGCAAAACCCAAAAATCTCAACCTTATAAAAAATATGAAGACCTGCCGCCACAACAGTTTTAAGATCTCATCCTCATAAATATCAATCGGTTTTACGGATAGGAGAGATTAGGGATGACTTAAGAAGGTTAAAGATCTCATTTGTTCTAAACCTATATCTGATAAGTTGATGCACTAAATAGTCATCTAATATTCATGGTTTTGGGTTCTATAAACAACAGGAAAAGAGTTGCAGTTGACAGTGGCAAAAACGGTTTTGAGCATGTTATGATGGATAATGCAAAAAGTCCTGAACGCTAGATGCAAGGCGCTACTTCTGCTGCTTCTAATATGAAGACTCCAGCAGCTTCTAATGTCTCTCCGCCCCACGAGGTTAACACAATGTTATATGTATGAGAGCTCATTTTATTATAGAGGTTTAGCTAAAAGTAAATACTTCAATTTAATTAAGAGTAAATGAATATATGGCTACATTTGAGTTCATGACTTTTGAGCAATACAAGGCTAGAAATATAGCCCATCCAGTGAATTTCTCTTGCTTTTTAAACAAACTTACTAGCATTTCTTTACATCTTTTGGGGACTCCCCCAACACAAATCAGTTGGAAAAAAGAACAAATTGAATTAAATCCAACTCTGCATGTACAATATTAGCCTATGTTGCAAGCACATGGTACAAATTTCACCCTGCTGTGTGCATTACAGCAGACATATATGGGTTAAATAATATGGTTACAAACCAGAACTTACATGCTAATGCATTACAGCAGGTGAAGAACATATAAAAGGGAACACAATCACGGTACTGTAGATGGAACATTATCGAGCTCTACCAAGTATAACTGAACCAAAGCCAAGCTGGACTAAACTGAGCTGAACTCTAACCACACCATCGCTTACAAGTTCCAAGACTTAAAAGGCTATTATCTTGGATTAGTTTAGACTGGTTGCCTGAAATGTATTCTTTGGTGTTCATTTTCTAGGTTCACGGTGAATCCACGACAGAGAATTAGGCAACATAATGGGGAATTGTGCAGTGGTGCATCGAGGACCAAGAAAAAACTCCCTTGGGAAATGGTATTATGCATAATATATGGTTTTCCTACTAATGTTGCTGCCCTTCAGGTATCATCAGACATCTAGCAACTCAAAATAACACCACTTTAGGACATGATTATGCTATTACTTAGTGAAATATCTTGAAATATTACTGCTTGGTGATTTAACTCATTTAGTTTCTAAATTGCAGGCGTGGGCATCTGTTTGATTACACCTGTGCAGTATTACTTTAAGCTCTGTAGATGTATATACCATCATATACATATTTTTTTATATATACCGCCAAACCCTAAACTTCCAGATATAACAACGAAAACGACGATAACAATCCAAAATCCATCGAAATGCAATCTGTTGTGTTCAATTAGAAACTACAAAAGTTAAATTAAATAGGAATAGAAAACGAATATGAACCTGTAAACTGCAATATTTTCCAGTCGCTGCAATTACGAACGAATACCTCAATTGTGCCCGCATGAGATCTCTCTGCAATGGTGCGAATTAGGGTTTCCTGAATCTGTTCTTGAACAAAGAAGTTGGCTAAAGAAAAAAAGAAATAGATTACCTCCTCTAATTCTGGATTGACGCTAATGGATTGAAAATATGTCAAATATATGCGTATCTCTAAATTCTGTTGGAGTCGATTATCTCAATCGTAATCTGGAACCGATGAAATCGGATATGGATGAAATCGTTTAGGGAGGGAATTGGGTTTTTGTTGGCGATGAAATAGGATAGAGATGAAATAGGATAGAGATGAAATCGAATAAGGATGAACGAGTTTATGGATGACTTTGATAGGTTGTATCATTAACAATAAATATTGTCTTTAAGAGTTTTAACCAAATATTTTATAAAATAATATAGATATCTTATGCATTTAAGATTGTTTTTAACAAGTCTGCTTTATAAAATAGTATAGATAACTTTTAAAACCAAGGAAAAATAATAATAATTATTAACAACATACCATAAGTGAAATCATATGTTAATCTAAACTTTATTATATTTTTATTTATTTTTTAAATAAAAAAGACGAGGTGCTTTCAAAGTTGGTTTTGTTGAAAAGAGATAAGGAGGTGGTGGGGAAACACGTGCCCTATCATCGCAAACCAATTTATAACCCTAAATCTCTTCTCGATCTGGTGAGACTCGCACCGCTGAAACCCTAGCCTCCACCCAACTCAACATCGAAAGAAACCCTAAATCGACTCTCTTTCGCCCCTTCCATGGCTAAGAAGCGAAAGTCCCGTGCTTCACAACCTTCGGTAGAAGAACCAGTACCTATGGAGGAGCCTCAAGAACAGATCAATGAAGCACAACAGGAACAGGAACAGGAGCAGGAACAGGAACATACCGCCAACGATGATGTCTTAGGGAAGGAGCTAGTGCAAGAAGGTGATGAAAACGCTCAAAATCTGGAGGAGAATAAAGAAAAGTATGAGCAAGAGGAGGAGGACGATGCTCAAGAAGAAGACGAAGAAGAAGAAAGCGAAGAAGAAACCACCGTAAACGAGGTCAAGGTTGAAGCGAACGGCGGCGGCGGAGGAGAAGAAACAGAGGATTTGGATGAAGAACCCGTAGAGAAGCTTCTTGAGCCGTTCTCCAAGGAACAGCTCCTCTTACTGCTCAAGGAGGCTGTTTCGAAGCACCCTGAATTTATCGAAAGCGTCCAGAAGATTGCCGATGCGGACCCTGCTCACAGGAAAATATTTGTGCATGGTCTAGGTTGGGATACCAACTCTGAGATCCTAACTAGCGAGTTTGGAAAGTACGGTGAGATTGAGGATTGCAAGGCTGTGGTGGACAAGGTCTCTGGAAAATCTAAAGGTTATGCGTTTATACTATTTAAGCACCGGGCCGGGGCTCAGAAAGCTTTGAAGGAACCTCAGAAGAAGATTGGGAACCGCATGACCTCATGTCAGCTGGCTTCTGCTGGGCCAATCCCTGCTCCTCCACCGACTGCACCTCCGGTGTCCGAATACACACAAAGGAAAATATTCGTGAGCAATGTGTCTGCGGAGATCGATCCTCAGAAGCTTTTGGAGTTCTTTTCAAAATTTGGGGAGATCGATGATGGGCCACTGGGATTAGATAAGCAGACTGGAAAGCCTAGAGGGTTTGCGCTCTTTGTGTATAAGAGTGTGGAAAGTGCAAAGAAAGCTCTGGAAGAGCCGCACAAGAATTTTGAAGGGCATACTTTGCATTGCCAGAAGGCCGTTGATGGTCCAAAGCCAAATAAACCTTACTTTCAACAACCACATCAGCATCACAACCAGCATCAACATCATAACCAGCATCAGCATCAACAGTATGGTGGTCATCATCACCCTTCAAAAAAGAGCAAGTATTCCAGCTCAGGAGGTGGTGCAGGACAAGGTCATTTGATGGCACCTTCGGGACCTTCGGTGGGTTACAACCCAGCCGTTCCTCCGGCATTGACCCCTGCTTTGGGACAGGCCTTGACTGCACTCCTTGCGACTCAGGGAGCAGGACTGGGGAATCTTTTAGGACTTGGTGGACCTGTGAACCCACAGGGAATGCCACCTGCGATGAACAATCCTGGGTATGGAAATCAGGCAGGTGCAAGCTATGGTGCGCAACCAGGGATGCAGGGTGGGTACCCCAACCCACAGGTTGGTCAAGGAGGCAATAGACCGCAGCAAGGTGGTGCATCTTACATGGGTCATGGTCACTAGGTGAGTAAAACACTGTTCTTTTACCAACTGATATGCTTGAAATTATGCTTTGTTTTGTGCAATTTGGCTGCATGTTACTTGGGTTGCTGATTAACCTGGCTTTAAAGGTATGACCCTTCCTGTGGATTATGCTTTTCACAAGTCACTTCCAAATAGAGGATGCTATGTGTTTGAGCTTTAGGGTGTTGACGTACAAATCACACCCTTAGGAATTCTCCATATTTGGTGAAAATTTTCTTCCCTCTCCTACTTTCTCTATTTTGGAGAATCTCTTAGAGCAAAAAACACTCGGATCTCCATTTTCTCCATTTTGGGGATGCTGTTTTGGATGCCCTTGTAGTTATATGTTGCATGACAATCCATCAAGGATTTTTTTAAATTAAGAAGATCGTGAAACCTAAAAAGTCCTTTACCAAAAGAGTGTTGTTTTATGGCAAAAAAATAAACCTGTTAGTTTGTTGTAAATGGTCATGATTAGGAGCATTTCACCAGGAGGGGTGTGTGTTCAACCAAAGTGTTCCACAAGTTTAGTATCAGCTTGGTTCCAGTTTAAAACTGTTTCTTACAGACCCCAGTCAACTGAATGCCTTGTTGATAAGCTACATAGTTTGAATGTTGGATTGGCTCTTTTATTTGGGTTCTCATTTGAGGCGGTAGGTACTCAGCTTTGCTACAATATTTTAATAGATTTATACACAATTTGCTCATGCCATCTGTTTAATTTTCAATTTTCTGCATATACAAGTGTTGACTTTAAGACCTCAAAACTTCAACCCTATATGTTCGACATCAAACTGTAAATATTTTGGAAAATGTTTACGAAAAAGAAAAGAAGCTCATTTGGTTCTTGACTTCTTGGTAATCAAACAAAGAACATTACTGAATATCATTGGGTCTGGGTTTGGGTTGATTTATTGGTTTCAACATTTTGAACTGTTTTTGGCACAACCCTATGTGTTGCCGATGACTGCGAATCACTGCAGGTATGTTCTTAATATCTGTGTAGTTCTTGCTGATGTGTATGCCTGCTAATCTATTTTTGTGATTGTGGGACAAACCTATTGATTTGATGAGTCAGCTGCTGCTGATTTAATGGTTGGAAAATAATTTTGTTCTTAATTATTAAATTCTAGACATATAAGAAAGAACAAAGATATATAATGCTACCATCTTCCTCTCTTTTCATAAATAAAACACTTCTCTTCACATTTCCACTTGCATCCTTTTGAGGTGAACATGTATACTTTGTCACACACGCACATAATTCCTTGTTTATGGTGCTTGGACTCCAGCAACTAAAAGTTCTTGTGGTCCCGCTTCATCATGTATGTATTTTTAAAAGCAGCATTCTTCCCATTTTGAGCTTTATTTTTTCTCTTTAACATGTTTTTCTAGCGTTTGATTGCCCAAGATTATCTGAAGATGCAATCATAAGGTTATTATTGAATTATACTTAAATCCTCTATTAGCATGGTTTCTTTGGGAATCAGCAATCCAGCATAAGTACATTTATTATTTTATTAGAATTGAACTGAGGTAGAAATGGTAATGCTCTCGAACAGTTTCTCATTTTGATCATTTGCAGTAACTTTTGATTTACGTTCCTTGATAATTAACAGGAGGAGCTAAAACAAGTTTGCTAAGTAGTTGTACATTACACTTATTCATGCTTCACCTTATTGTTCATTTAGTTCTCTTCCAAGATGTATGTGTGTTTGCTCTTTGTATATATGTATGCATATGCACCTGTCTGTATCTATCTAGTTATATACATATATATATATATATATGCGTATATATGCGTATATATGTATATGCAGTGGTTTTCCTCCCCTATGATGGTCGGGGGACCGGTATGGTGGGATCCCTCCAGAGGGTGGCATATTAATATATATTTGGATGGCAAACTTCCGGTGTAGGTCATCTTGGCATTTTCATAAATGTTTTGTGCGAGGTTATTTCTTTCATATCTCTCCTGTTTTAGATATGTATATGTGATTTAAGACCATAATCATTGTTAAAATACCCCTCTAAGCATGGCTAAGATATCCATTGCCCATTGCCCATTAGTTGCCCATGAGTTGAAATATTATGCACACTTCTTTATCAGTCTCTTGATTTTGATATACATGTAGGTATGTGAGTGATTTAAGAACATAATCATTGTTAAGATATTCATACATCTATTGGTATGAAGTATACAATTATGTGTATGGTACTATGGTGTTCTCATATACCATGCAAGTCCTTGAAGTATATTCTTTTGTTTTCACCTACGTATTTGAACATTTGTTTGGGATACAATCTGTTAGCAACTTATATTATCTTTGAAGAATGTTTCCTAATTCTTTACATGAATTTTTGGTTAAGTCTAGTATATGTATCAAAGTTGTTCTTTAAACTCATGAACTTTATGATTTTTTCAGTTTCAGTTGACAAACTGTTTTCAGCTGGGAACCTTGCTTTTGAAATCAAGTTTTTATAATATACATTTTATTGTGCAGATTTCATCATGTTTTTGTTTTGGACTCCCGCTGATTCTTCTCAAGTTCCGGCAAGTTATGCAAATGACGTCTTTATTATATGTAGCAAAAAGTAACCATTTGCTTAAAGAGCAGAATCGCAAACCTGTATTTCCTTATTTTCAGTTACCTGGTTTTATGAACTATTTTGAAACAATGTAGTATTTTGGTTTTATTATGCTTCTAAAAATGTTGAAGGAGCTGGTCGACGTTGCTATGATGACACCATAACTCTGATAATTGAAGTTTAATGCACTTATGATGTACTTTTCATGCCTTTTTCGTTTCGTTTAGAAATTTTATTGCTATGCCATTAGTTCACTATGATGACTTCATTGCCAATGCTATTATGTTATGTTTTACTTTTATCAGCTAGCATTTTTTATTCTTTTGTTGAAAGTCTTGTAGCTCCCATTCGTTGTTCGGTCAGTGGCAATGCTCATGAATGTCCTTCGCCAGTGGCTGTTTCAGGTATTTTCCAAGTTATATGGCATCATCCCCTGTCCTGCAGTTGTGGGTTCCTTTTGGGGGAATTTGTGATTCAATTCAAGCTATTACACTTCACACTTATTTCATAATTTTTTTCAAAAAGTCACAGTTAGGATTCAATGGTGTTTTTGAAAGGATGATGGTTTCTTGATGGTGTGAAGTGATTGGGTTGAGTCGTTTTATTTCAGTTCAAAAGTTTATTTCAAACATTACATGATACAAAAACTCACTGGCCTCTAGTTGTTAAATGACAGTTTTTTTTCAGGTTTTGATTAGTCTAGTCCTTTGCTATATGTTCTCCATGATGAATTTTACCAAACCGTCGCACTTGGTTTGAATGTATTAACCAACCATTGTGCTTTAAAAAATGCAAAAAGAGCACATTTTTGTTGGCATTAAAATCCATGAAAATAAATGGAAGTTGATTAGTATGATGGAAGTTGATTAGCATGATGGTCATTTTTATGCATCCTTATCAACTACAATGCTTTTGTTAGATATTTTATTAGCATAGGTCATAATGGTTGGTTAACTTGTCCAAGTTAAGTACAATGGTTAGGAAGGCTATTCGCTCACGGACTTTGTTTTTCTACTTATTCAAGAGTGGTCGTCATTGAATGACCAAAATCTGGATTTCAAATACGATACAAATTTAAATAGATTCTTCATAAAAACATCCTAGTTTTCTATCTGGACATGGGGTGTTCATGTAAAACATCCTCTCTACTCTTGGGTGTAGAGGACAGAACTGCGTATGTTTCACCCACAGACATACCTACAGGATCATGCCTATTTCTGGATAGGGATTTCATTAGAATCTGTTTGTGTTTGAGGGTTGCTGTTGGTGAAACCCAGGAACATGAACAAGAACCGGAGAGTGGGGAATCATCTATGAATGGCTAATCATGCTATGGAGCCTGGAGGGGTACATACATAATTTAGTGTTACTGGTGCATTATGAAGACTGTAGAGGTCCATCAGAAAGAGGTATGTTGCAACATAATCAACTTAACTTGCATGTTTCTGTAGTTGTGTTGCCAAAAATTTGCTGACCTGTTTTTGACTCGAGTCTCTTCAAACTATGGGCATAATGTTACGTTTGGAGAGGGTTGGACCATTCAACCACCAAAGCCGTTTTATCCTAAAAAGTTGCTAGCGGTTGTTTCTGGGTATAAGATCAAAGTAAAGTAGCGATTGAAAATGATTTTAATGGGCTTGGATTTCAGCTCTTAAGTTTTGATTTAGGTTTTGAGCTTTTTGCATTTTGGTTTAAATTTTCTCGGTGTTGGTGTTAATGCGGCGTTGTGGCTGGCAATGATGGAGGATATGAAGATTATGAGAGGTGAAACTGATTAGAGTTAATATTTTAGCAGGCAATGAGGGTTGGTTATAAGAACTTGGGTTTGCTCTTAAGTCATCACTGTTGTAACTTCTCTTGGGGCCATTTAAAGGTTTGTCCATATCTATGTTAGTATTAGGATGTTAGGGAGTTTACGGTGTTAGACGGCCGAGATAGTTGGTTATCTGACTAAGTAGACGGTTTGGTATTGGGTATATATATATATATATATATATATAGACTTGGGATCAAGTGAGACGAAGGGTTTTTCGTGAGACCCATATATATATATATATATATAGAGAGAGAGAGAGAGAGAGAGAGAGGGTTGGGTTCATGTGAGACCAAGGGTTTTTCGTGAGACCTGTAAGACCAATTTATGTTCATTGATCAACTTTATAAGCTAATGATCTAATGGTCTAAAGTTGCACAGTGACAATTTTGTGATTATGAATGTTCAAATTGTAGATTTAATCCAATGGTTGAGAATTGGTCTTATGGGTCTTACGAAAAATCTTTGGTCTTACATGATCCCAAGTAATATATATATATANGAATTGGTCTTATGGGTCTTACGAAAAATCTTTGGTCTTACATGATCCCAAGTAATATATATATATATATATATATATATATATATATATATATATAAAAGAAAGATACAAGATGTATGCCTTGGTTTAATATTTATGATAAATTGCATTAAAATTCATCATTTTTTTGGAATTGGGTACCATAATCAGAACGTTTCCATTTTGGAGAACTAAAATGGATATGTTTAGTGTTGAAACACGGTGTTCTAAAGTGAATGTTTTGATTGATGGTTTTTTTAAATATGAATGAAACTAAAGCTGGTGTAGGTTTTCAAAATTATTATTATTTATATATTTGTTTGCTTTTATGTGAATAATGTTTTTTCAATTTTAGATTTTCTGGACATTTTTATAAGAATATTGAGTAGTAATACCCTGGTTATGTTCATGATGTTTTAACATTGTGAGATCAAGTCCAATACATTCGAGTGTAGCAACTTATTGGAATTGGTAAGAAGAAATGAGGTTTGAACATGAGATCTCATAATTATCGATCCATGGGGCTGAACAGGTGATCACGTAATCGAAAAGGAAGATATGAAGAAAGCGTGTAGGCAAAGATTGTGGTTCTCACAGAAAGTAACCGACGAGATGATGTGTGAATAAATAATGTACCATGTATGAGAAAGGCCACTAAAGTTGGTTTAGTAGGTCGATGATAGGGAATGTAAAAGCTTAACTTGCATGCGTTAATAATATCGTCATTTTCGATACCGGATCATAAGATAAATTAAGACGATGCTAGATAAAATAATTTCTTCCTACTTCTAGGTTATTAATGTAATATAATTACCAAAATTAATCACCAGAACAATAACTTCTTTGATTAAACAATCTAAGGGGCCGTTTATCAAACGTTTACCCGGATAAGTGCTTATAAAAATCACATTACCTTATCGGATGAATATGGTAAGGACCAAGAATCTTACACGGTAAGAGTCAGACAAGGACCAAGAGTCTTACCCGGTAAGTGAGGACGACGACTCTTACTACGGTAAGTGTTTACGGGGTAAATTGTTGCATATGATCCCGTTTTTGTGGACTAAAATCTTATCCGGTAAGTAAATGATAATATTAAATTTTATCGGTAAGCGCTTATTGGGTAAATGTTTGGTAAACGGCCCCTAAGATGCCATAAGCATCCTGAAGGAAATTTATGTGTTCAGAGAATTAAAACGGCCGGTGATTAATGGAATTCCTTGTGGGTTCTATTGGCCGAGGATTCCCAAACATATTGTTAGGTTTTATATTATAAAATAATGACTGTTGTTTCATGATGTGATTATTTTCAATGTACAATGATGCTAACTTTTTACGTGCACTTAGAACTCGGGAAGTTTTAACCCAACAATTCAAAATAATCAACCTTTTCCGTTAAACAAAAAAACGAAAGGTTAAATAGTTGATCATGTATATGGTTAAGAAAATCTCATACGATACCTCCTACCATGAGCGATTATGTGCCATTCTAGACTTCTTTTTTTCCTCTTTTTTTGTTACATCTCTTACAAAAACCCGCCTTTTTATTTTGTATGTGTGTAAATCTATACCCGCAGCCTTCATCTTTGATCAAGATCATATGAAGATTGATCGGAACCATCAAGACTACCTATGAGACACTACAGTTTTTGTCTTGATGAAGAAAATGTCGGACCTTCATAGAAAAAACATTGAACCTTAACATGAGAAACGCAACAAACGTTTACTGGAAAAAAAAAAAAAGCATCAAACTTTTACAGGAAGTGATAACTCCCATTTTGAGTGTTATTTACACATCATTTGTGTGAGTTCTCTTTCTTTTTAGTTGTGTTTCCTCTTTATGTGTTCACGTTTCTTATTTTTACTATTTTATTTTCATTTGGAGCTGTTGAAGATATTTTATAGTTATACACATCATTTTTGGGTTAAATTTTGGACTGCGAAATGTGCAGACTGTGTTGCCACTGTGGTGGACGATGTAAATTTGAGAACACTAAAAATATTATTTTTGCATGCATTCTTTTGCTTATTTCAGATGCAAAAATATGGTATCATTAAGGTTGCATTTGGTATATGAGACAAGACACGACGAAACACAATGTCCCACATTTGGTGCGACACGGGACATGGACAAGAACTAGGACAAGATGTGACAACGTGGGACAAAAAAGTTTTCTTGTTCCATCAAAATAGATGAAACAAGATGTGACAAGAATGAGACAAAAACTAAAGTATTACCAATCTATCCTCGTTTGATATATAACATTAATATGATATTTGTTTTAGTGGTCACCACCGCTAGTCGTGGTTGTTGGTGTCCCCCACCTCTTCCATTACAATGATCTCCGCTATCATTTGCATAACCACGTCGACACCACCACCGTCCATCGCCGCCTCCACAACCATTGCCACCATTATCACCATTGGCCACCTCTACCTCCTTCTCTACTACAACAACCTCCTTAACCACCTATCCAACCACCATCCGTTCATAGCCACCATCACTACCACTGGGGCCACCTCACCTCCACCATAACCACCACCACCACTGCCTACTGGGATACACGAGCCATACACTCAGCGAAATTATCTGTATCCTTCCAAGAATCCATACGAAACGGGGTAGGATGGGTGTTTCAAAATTTTACTAGTACGAGCAACAACCTTTGATGTCTTATATGAATAGGAGTCGTTGATGACCTTTTTAGCTATCATTGAGTCTTGATTAGACTTAACACTTGTTGTAGACTGTCTTGTTATCATTGAATGTCCGCTTCAGATCACGAATATATTGTCTCTATCTTCAACTCTATCTTCGACATCGCTGACGGTTTCTTTGGTGTGAGTTTTGTTTTTGAGAAATACTTGTTCTAGGAATGTTTACAATACATGTTCAGTGATCATTGTACAGACTCGGAGATGATCCTTGAAATTGAACATAAACAAAACAAAGTATTTTTCACTAAATATAGAGGGTAATCATCAAATCAATAAGAAAGTTTGGATCAACAATAGTTACCACATCCATCGCAAGTTCCTATTGCAATATAAACTGTGTATGCATAATCCAATATAAATATAAAAGTTTATTTACTTGTTAACTTGTAAAGTAAAAACATCAAAAGCTTAAACATATTTACCACATCCATCAAAGAGTACTGATGCGTCATAAACTGTGTACACATAATTTAATAAAAATAAAAAAGTTAATTTACTTGTTAACTTGTAAAGTAGAAACATCAAAATCTTAAACATATTTACCAGCATCCATTGAAGAGTACTGTTGCGACATAAACTGCGTATGCACAATCAAATATAAATATAAAAGTTTATTTACTTGTTAACCTGTAAAGTAAAAACATCAAAAGCTCAAACATATTTACCGCATCACCTTGCCAATGGTTGTATAGTGTCATGTCGGTACTAGTTTTGGCACATTCTTTTCCATCTTATTAAGCCTTGCGTCGAGAAACCCATATTTTTTTTCGTTTATAAGGCCCATCATTGATGCAAAATTTTCATCGACCCCAAGACTCCACTGGCTAAGTTCAACATGCCATTGCGGAATGTCGGTATATGTCGCATATGAATGTTGCTGATGTGGCTCATACCGTGGAGGTTGTGACGTGTGAGCTGCAAATAATTGACACGGTTCAGATGGTGAGACGTTGTCGTCATCATAGTCATCATCTTCGTCACCAATGCCATGATCTAGGTTCGGTTATCCATTATGGTTCACCAAAAAGGCCATGCTTCCAATCCACCAGTGGACCGACTCCTCCAAAGGTGTCATCACCAACGAGGTCAGGAATCGAAACGCGTTCTAAAAATCTATAAATCAATATAATGTTTTTTATTTTACCATAAATATTTAATTAAACCTAGTAAATTTGAATTTATAGTAAATGAAACTGTACCTTGTCAAATTTGCCGAATTCGTAACACTCTTCCCACTTGATGTTTTCAACTGTTTCCATCCAATAGCCCTTGGGATTGACGGATTATAACGAAAATACTTTTAACCACGGGGAAAAGTCTCCAAAATTCAAATCTGATATGTTACAAAAAAAACATTGTGAAAACATGTCAATTAATTCGTAAATAACATCTTATACAACAAATAAACAACAATAACCGACCTTGAAGGTGTATACGAAACCATACAATGTGTATCTGTTGTAATTTGTCTGCTTGCAACGCTCAAATGCATTTTTCAACTGCTTATATGTAAGACATCATATATATAAGCCCCATGGGTATATTGGTTTCGGGCATCCAAATCTTCAACTAGATGTAAAGTCTAGTGTTCGACATTGTAGTTTTTTTTCGTCCTAGAAATACCGTATGAAACATGATTATGAGGCACACACGTACTGCATCATCGTCTGATATGTCTTGATTGTTTAAGTCGGTCAATTTATTTCTAAAATGACCGACTTTAATATAAGCATGTTTGGTCATTTTACCAAACAATCTTGTATTAATTGAAGGAGTGGTACAATGTGGTGGGTGAAACTCTGCCCCAAATCTAAAACTCGTGATCAAACATAACTCGTCTGCTAAAACGTAAATGGAACCCTCTAACACGATAATAGATTTCTTCGGATTAAGAAGTGAAAGAGCAGTCCTTACATTGCACCATCCAATTAATTAAGAAAGGTCTCCTCTAGAGTTTTTATACAAAAATCGCTCTAAATAAGACAAAATACCAATCAAAATCGCCCTCATGTCTAGTCACGTCGTCATTGAGTTATCAAATCAACCAAAAAGTTATGTCATAAATTGTCTTCTCTAAAAAAACAAAATAGAAGTCAAAATCATCCCTCGAAGACGATTCACATGAGAACTATTAGACTACTCACATTGAAAATACATCTCAATCTATTTGGGAATAAGACAAAAGACATTAATAAAAAAATACAATCTAATCGAACAATGTTTTCCATGTTGCAAACCAATATTGCAACATTAATATTATAATAATAATAATAATAGATTTTTAGGATAATAGAATATACATGTATCAAATTCTAATTGGTTGGTTTTAGATTTTATTAGGATAAAACTTATTTGATTAAACATAAAACTTTAATAAAACAGGTTAAAAATTAAAAAATATATCAAAATTCATATTTTTCAACTCCCTACAAGTAGAGACCAATATTGACACATTTTCAACACACTAATCTTTCTCTTCATTTCAATACTCTCATCATCTTGTAAATTTCAAAAATCGTAATATTTTCAAGTTTCTACTACGGATCTAAACCAGTTAAAAAATTATTTAACTCGCAACATCCTGATAACTCTCAATATATTCGAAACACATAATTTGAAAACTCCAAGTTTCCTCATCATGATAATCAAGTTCTTATCCCTGAAAATGTCCAAACCTTGCAAAAGGCCCCAAGAGTCGACCATCCATCGGACACTAAAGAAGATATGGCTTTAATGTCAGCATGGGTCTTTGTTAGCGAAGAAGCTATCGTGGAAATAATCAAAAGAAAGGAGTGTTTTTTCCATGAGTGAAAAAAAAAATACTATGATGCAACTCACGAAGAAAATCCATAAGGAATGTGCATCAGGAATGAAAATCAATGAAAGGTTATTGGTCTCGACTTAACGAAAATGTAAACAAGTGGATTGCTACGTACAAAGAAGCATATCATCAAAAAAGAAGTGGAATGAGTATGACAGATGTTAAGAAAGAAGCTCATGCAATTTATGAGGCAGATGGGAAAAAGTTTTTGGACTTGCTATGTACAGTTAGATCGTGACACGACACTTTCTTGTTCAGAATATGAAATGGGTGTTGAAGAAAGTGGTGGAAATATAAAAATATCAAGAACTA